CATCACTCTCTCCCTCCCAATCTCTCACTCTCTCACTCTCTCTCTCTCTCACACACACACACACACACACAACGATTAAATAAACCGCTGCGCCAGGAAACGGATATTGCCCGTGATGAGCTAATGAAGGGAATATAATATTATCGAATGAACCGCTCAGCGTGCGGCACACTGCCGCCACCGTCTTCGGATAATAATTAGCAAAAGTCAGTGCTTTCGTCTRCTGCAAATTGTTACTGCTGCAACTGATGGATACTCGATATACCACCCTCCTCCTTGCCAATCAAATAAATATGTATAGGCACACGTTGGTCTCGCCCGTTGCACAATAGCTGTCTTCCTCGAACGCTATCACACGCACGCGCGTAAATACAATGGGCCATATTATTATATGTATTCGTATTGTTCGATTCCGCGTGATCAAAGAAAAAAAAAACAGAAAAACATTWTATTATAACAACCGGTGGTCGTTTGGATTTTTTTTTCATTATTTTGTCGAATCTGTTTTGTACAACAAGCTCTTTTAATTCTCAAAATCTGTAATGGGAGTACATACTTATAACGTATAGCCTTTAAAGTTTGTGTTATATAGATGCGTATATGAATTACATTATAATGAGTCTGCGTCTCTGCGGCCTCATTACCACGATGGATCAATGGGACCCCTCCTATCGCCAGGGACCGAGAGAAATTGAATATTAAAATTTAACTCTTATGTTTTATTGTACTTTTGTTACGAGTTTATGACTTTAAATAATATTTTTTTTAAATAAGACATTACAAAAACTGAATATTTTCGAGAAAAAATGAGTGTTTACTTTTAAAAAAATCGCCTTGTATTGTACTATATGAGCATCATTAGCTCTGTGTGAACATGATGTATTGATGCATCACTAAAATGATATACCTACAGCGCCACAGCGGCGATTCGGATAAATGGCACACACGTCGTAGGGACTTGGTAGAAAATTTCACACATCAATAGCTATCAATAGATGATTTTATAGGGTTTTAAACTTATAAAAAGTATTATAGTTATATTTGAACATGGGGTAAGAGCAAGTACCCATTATTTCCACAATGCGAAATGTGAGGAGTACGACAATTTTCTACTGGCAATGAAATTCGTTTAGGTAATAATAATCAACATCTGCTATATACTCAAAATAAAGAGTGTAATACTTCTTTAATATCAACATCGACGTTTAAAAGTTGTTTGATTGTCTTCCTTATTTTTTTGTTCATTCGMTGTTTGAAAAAAAGCAATTATGATAAATTAAAACAATGGCTGGTTCATTTCCTTTTTTATTGTACAATGAATACTTAATAATTTGTATTTTTTTACAGTTGAACTCGATTTAACATTAATTTAATATGATAAAGTAACTAATTTTTCAATATTCAGTTCCGTTTTTCATTAATTGTTCAGAGATTATTGTATTGTTATTTGTTACACAAATCTATTCAAGCATCATTTTGTAACTAAATTACAATAATGAATTGTTTATTGTTCATACAAAAGAACTAGGTAGGAATATTTTTATTTTAAAAGTAGATTTTAAATTTTAATGAACTTTGCCAGTGCCTTTTTTGTGATATAAGTAGGTACTTACAGTAAAGAAATATGTTAAAAATATTAATTATTAAATTATTTAAAAAAAGGGTTTGTTTAATAAAATAATGATGTCATTATATTATACTATTTTAGCATAATACTACCACCTATATATTGTAATGCAAACAATTTTTGTATTATTTATGCTATACAGGATGTCCCGTGAGGTTTTACTCATTGCGATATCTCCCGAAATAATGGAGATATCAAAATTCTGGTTTTGTAAATGACTCGCAGGAATAAGAACTAAAATTATTTCTTATTTCAATTTATTCTAATGTTTTGGTAAAAAAGTTAAATATTATATTTTTCATTAAATTATTTCCAAAATAATTGAAGGTACCTWCTCATTTGGTAGAGTTTATTATTCTAAAAATGTTGAAGTTTTAATATTTTATTTTTATTCATTCCCTGGTTTGTAATATTTATTTTTTTAATTTCGAAAAAAATGAGAATTGTTTAACACCGTAGTGTTATCAAACATGTGATTCGCCGGCCGCCGCCCGCGTGTTCGTACGGCCGGCGAACGCTTTTAGTGTGCCTAATTATAATCATATTTCATTTTTTCAAAACTAAAAAAAAATCAGGAAATTAATGAAAATAAAATTTTGAATCGTCAATGTTWTCAGTAAAATTAACTCTTCAAAATGGTTACCTTCAATTATTTGGAAAAAATAAAAAAATATATTTTTCAACTTTTTTAACAAAACATTAAAACTCATAAAAAACATGTTGAAAAACAAGTCATACTTAGCTTTAAATTAATACTTACTTCATTTTCAATTGATACTTGTGGAAACCTATTTATAAAAAGCTTTCTAACTCATCTATATAATTATAAAATTCATGATGTGGCGTCATTAAATTGCCATACATTGTTTTTTCTAAATTTTAATATGCTTTTAAATAGCAATGTAAAAAAGACTCATCCAATATTTTTTATGATTTCGCATAATGAATACAAACTTTGGTACTATGCTTTTCAATTCATTTTTTCATTAAAACCCTTAAACATTTGTAAAAGCATTTTTCTTGGGCATCGATAAATTCCTATAATATGGGATATTTATTTTAAGTATATTATTTTTAAATTTAAAAGGATTTTTATCTTGAAATTAAATGTGATTTAGTTTTATTTGTAATAATTTTAGATTCTGAGC